AGTAAAGGAAGATAGATAAAACTTGAAAGACTAGAAAGATGTCAAACCTCAGCGCCCATCTCCTTTCAAATGGTATGTTGGATGAATGCAGAAAATGATTTTTAGCAGAGGGTTGAGGAGAGGGAAACTCATAATTCTTCATATGTCTTAAAGAATATTTATCTAAAAATGAATGGAAGGTTTGTAATTGTTTTGTCTCCCATATATGAGCACTGTGTTCAATGTAACGGAGACTGAAAAGCAGGTTTTAAAAGCATTGTATTCCCTTGACCCAGCCTTCTCTGTGATTTTGGCTGTGGGAACCTGGGCTTGACATTTTATAACAATTCCCAGGATCCTAGGCAAACGTTGTCCAGGAGTACATGATTATCCAACAGAAAGTTCTACTCTCAGTGTTTGACTCACCAAATCATTAACAGTCCTAGCTATGGCTCTAGACACAGGCGGGGCAACAGCACATTGTTTCCATGTGCAAAGTAGAAGTGCATTTCATAGGAAATAAAGTTAAAAACTAACTTTCCCAGAAAGCTTGATTCATGGTATACGTGGACTTGAGACGCTTCATTTGTAATAGAGCCAGGCACAATTTGAAATAATTGATAGGATGTGAACAGATGCAGAAGGAATGCTCTGCTTTAATCACTTTGACTTACCATGTCCTGCTGAGCTTCTGAACACAACCGAGACAAAAATCAATGATCAAAAGGAATTGTGAAACAGAAGGGCAAAGGTAAGTTGTTTCTTCATTTGGGCCATTTAAATTTTAGTGGTCAGACGGCTTCTCACTGTAATCTCAGCATATTGGTATGGAGTACGTGGAAATTCAATATTTCCTTCTTATTTGGTGATTCTTCATATCAGTGAATACAGTTTGTGAGAAGTCATTCTTAGATTGTATGCTTGGTAATATGTCCCCTTACCTTGGGTGTTTGCGGCACAGGAGGAATGTTGAGAGAGGACACCATTTGCAAAGGCTCAGATGCACGAAAGAGCATGGTCCTGAAGGAGGCAAGATGTTTTGTAAGACTGGAATCAAGGACATATTTGGAGAAGGAGCAGGAGCCAAAAGTGGAAAAAGTTGGCAGAAAACGAATCAGAAGAGCTTTCAGTGTGTTCATGCTAAAAAAGGTTTCAGTGTTGGTCTATAAGTAATGGCCAATTATGGAAATAATTTTACAGAATAAAGATCTGCATTTATTTATTTTTAAATCCTCCTGGAACCAATGTGGCCAAACTGGGATCAGGAGGATTAGGTGGCTCTTGCTGTTTGTCTAGGTAAAGAGGACCCAGTGAAAAGTTGAGGCAGTGGGGATGGAGGGAAAGAAATGAATCAGAAATTAATGAAACTCATTGATAAGTAATATGTTGTGAATGAGAGAGAGCAAGGAATCCAGCATGACATCCAGATTTCTGGATCTGATGATTGGGAGGATGGTGATGCCATTAACTGTGAGGAGGAATTTCAGAGGAGGAACAAATGGAGATTTAGCAATGATGAGTTCCTTTTCAGACATGTTGAGTCTGCAGTGACTGATAAAACGTGCAGGTAGACCAGTCCAGAGGATAGTTGGAATTACAGTTTGAAGGTACAAATTTGAAAGTTACAGTCCATAGTAAATAAGTATCATTTACCGTATGAGTACACAAGATGACAGAGAGATTGTGTAGTATGAGAAGGATAAAATGGCAAGGAAGATGCCTAGGGAACGTTTAAGAGATGGATGGAGGAAGAGGAGTCCACAAGATTTACTGGAGAAAACAAGAAGTAGGAGGAAAACAGAGCTGAGTGGAGAGGGCATATCAAACGTCAGGGAAGCAGAGAATTTCAAGGCGTGGGCAACAGTCAACTTTAACAATGCAGCTGAGAGGACAAAATCACTGAAAAGTGCTGACCAAATGTAACCCTCAAATCAGAGAGTTTCGGGGGCTGGCCCCGTGGCCGAGTGGTTAAGTCTGTGCGCTCCGCTGTAGGCGGCCCAGTGTTTCGTTGGTTCGAGTCCTGGGCACGGACATGGCACTGCTCATCAAGCCACGCTGAGGCAGCGTCCCACATGCTACAACTAGAAGGACCCACAACAAAGAATATAAAACTATGTACCGGGGGGCTTTGGGGAGAAAAAGGAAAAAATAAAATCTTAAAAAAAAAAAAAAAAAAAAAAATCAGAGTTTCGTTCAGACAGTAGGGCCGGAAGCCAAGTGTAATTAGTCGAAAAGGAAATGGATGAGAAAATAGATAAAGCAAGAGTTGTGTGGTTTTTTTTATTTTTTCCAAAAATCTCTGCTGTGAAGAAAAGAGGTAGAATGAGAAAGAAAGGATGGCAGCTAGCAGGGATTAAAGAAGGATTTTGGCATCTTTACTTTTGCCTGAGATGGATAGAGCATGGTGCTGGGGGAGCATTCTGAGAGTTGAAACAAGTTGATGTGGCCACCAGCCTCTGACCTGTCAGCAAAGAGACAATGAGAATGATAGCAAACTTACATAGCAGCCACTGTGTTCCAAAGGTTCCTATATATGTTGTTTTACATATATTTATTCATCTACTTCTTCTAACTGCCTTGAGGGTGGATTCTATTACCCCTATTTTACTTATGAGAAAACTGAAGTACATAGAGGTTAAATAACCTGCCCAATTTTTGCTCTACCTGCTACACTAAAGCCAGTGCCTTCCAGAGCCACCAAAACAATGCATAAGTGTATACATCAGCTTCACCAGATTCAGAAGATTGTGGGTGAGAGGTGGAAAGCAGGAGAGGTGGGGACCAACACCTTTGCTGTAGATACAGGTCAGTTGTGTGATAAAGGGTAAGTTTCTCTGTGGAACATGTCTTAGCAACCTTTTCATATTAAAAAGTTGAAGACTGAGTAAAGTTACTGGCTCATCAATATTATTTGATTCTTAACCTTCTTGGAAGAAGGTTAGTTGGGAACAACCAAGAGTTAGTTTGATGTGGCAGAACTGAACTAGTCACTAAAATGAAATTAAAATGTTGGAAGTAATTCAGAGCAGGAATCAGGGCTGGGATATGGGTGGAGTGGGCGGGGGAGGGAGATGGAGATGGGCAGGATGTTGAAACAAAGAGTATCTTGATCACGTAGTTGAATGAAGGTTGAAGTTACCTTCAGGCATTTGGCAGCGGAACTCATGAAAGATTGGGTAAATTTTTATATTTATAGTACATTGTTTGTCCTGACTGCTTAAGCTTTACCTAGTTTTGGGCCTATTCCTCCACAAAGGTGGTATTATTTCGGAATTTTTAAGATGATTATCAATTTGTTAGTCTCTTACTGTAATATTATCATTAGCAACAGTAGCTGATAGTAACATGTATTTGGAACTTACTGTGTCCCAGGCATAATGCCCACTGCTTTTTAGGAAGTATCTCAATTTACATGTATAAAAATCCTAGAGATGGCTCACTGTTGTCCTCACTTGATGCTCGAGGGAACTCAGGCTTGAAGATAGAAAGTTCCTTGCCCAAGGTTGTAGAACTGGACAAGTGGCCAAGCCAGGATGTGCACCAGGTGGTCTGAATCCAGAACTCAAGTGCTTAACCTTCTGCTATATGAGAAATAGATGGTGCCCTCAACCCACCAGTTCTTGCAGAGTTGGGTTGGGGCTGCCATATCCACGTAGGGGAAGATCGGCTTTAGAAGAACCTTGTCTCTGGTTCTACTGACCATAGTTATTTGGGGATTGGTTCATGAGGGTAAAGGTGAACCTAGTAAAAATATAGTTAAAAATATCTTAATGAAAGTAGCGACCTTCCTATGTCTTTATCTTCCCTGACTCTAAGCCAAAAAATATTTCTTTACTTTTTCATTGCAAGAGGGACTTTAGTATACACTTTGGTGTTCTTGATGTTTGTGGACTGAAATGATAGTGAAGAAAGTCTTGTTGACCATAAGAAAGGCTCTTGGGACAATGACTGAATACACCTGTTTCAGTGGTTTTATCCACTTATCTCTTCAATAACTATGTACTTACTGTGCTTGTTGCTGAGATACAGAAATACAGGCAGATGCTGTCCCTGATTTCATCTTGTGGAGTTTATAAACTGATGGGGAGGGAAAAAATTAGATAAGTTCACCAGAAATATTTAATTACTGTTAAATTGGATTTTGGAAACTCTAATATAATTATAAATTTGACTGCTTCCCAGTTAACTGTAATAGGCTAAATGGTTTTGAATGCTGGGATGTACGCTAGTTAATAAGTAAGAGTCCACCAGCTCTGTGCTAATAAGTGTAAAATCATAGACTCAAGGTATGGAAATAAATGAAAAGATGAGTGTTAAAAAGGTTGATGTCTTATAAAATATAGCTTAAAATGCTGGATATATAGAAGAGAAAAATCACAAGTCAACATTCTCATTTTCTATGCCTTTATGTTGCTTATTTATTTCTATATTATGAATGATTATGAAACAGACACGAATACTGATCATGGGCTGCTTTGATATGGAAATTTCTTAGAAAAACATGTGTATCATAGCTTCTTTTTTTTGCACCTTTTGCATCTTCCCTATTGGCCCAGAAACCCCATAAAGGAGACATTCTAAGGAAGACTGTGAGAACAGCAACTCCAAGCCAGAAATATCTCCAAATCAGTTTTTTTTCTTAGAGTTTTCTTTTTCCAAACCAAAAGCAATGAAAGATAGATTCAAGCATGTTCAAAACTTTATTAAAATTTTTGTTTTGTATTTGACATTAAAACCAGGTGAAAGTTCTTAGGCGACAATTTTGCTTTAAGCCTTAATCCATGGTAATTATTCCCACTGAGCTCAGATTAGATGAAACTGTGTGTCTACTCCAAGTATTTAAATCCTTAGAAAATGTATAAAGTGAAACTTACAACCTATTGGATTCTCAAAAGAATATCTATTTTCCTGTGTTTATGTGGACTGTGCAATGGTGGCATGGTGATGGTATTGAGTTTTTTAATTTCTGACATTTGGTTTTTGTAAACTCTTTACTTTCTTTCCCATTGATATCCCTACAGGCTCAGTTTGAACTTCAGACCTTTCATATCCGAGGTGAGCATGCAGTGATAACAGCGAGGCTAGAAGAAACCATTGAAAATCTCAAGCATGAGATAGAACACCGATGGCGAGGAGGATGTGAAGAGATGAGAGATGTATCTATCTCCACCGACGATGACTGCCCTCCAAAGACTTACAGAAATGTGTGCATCCAGACAGACAGAGAGACTTTCCTCAAACCCTGCGAAGGTGAAGGCAAGACAACCAGAAGTAACCAAATAATACCCAAAAAACTGAATATCTCCTCTTTAAGCCAACTCTCTCCCCCAAATGACAGCAAAGATGTCCATGTTCCTCTCCTGTCTGTGGAAGGCATCTCTTTGAATCAGCAGAAGGCATCGCCTCCCCCTCCTGCACCACCCCTACTAACAAGCATCCCTCCCCCTCCTCCCCTCCCACCTGGACTTGAAGCTTTGCCACCAGCACCTCCGCCACCACCTGTGAGTGCTGGACCGCCACCACCTCCGCCACCTCCTCTGCCTCCAAGTGCTGGGCCTCCCCCACCTCCTCCCCCGCCACCACTTCCTAACTTCTCCGCTCTGCCCAGCAGTGGGGGGCCACCTCCTGCTCCAGCACCCCCAGGACTTGCGCCTCCACCTCCTCCAGGACTCTTCTTTGGAGTCAGCTCTTCTTCTAGCCAATGTCCTCGGAAACCAGCCATTGAACCCAGTTGTCCCATGAAGCCTTTGTACTGGACTAGAATACAAATAAGTGATAAGAGGTAAGCTCAACTCCCCTGTCCCATTCTGAGCATGTGAACTCCCAGGATTTTGCACAAGTGATGTTTTATTCTTACCAGTTCAGCATCTGTGTACTGTGGCACTCATTCTCAAGTGTAGTACAGTGAATGCCTTAGATAAACAAGGCTGGAGTGTTTGGAGAAGAATGTCTCCACCAGGTCTCCTCTGTATTCCCTGTGGATTGATGCTAGGAGAAACGATGTGTTCAGCATCAGATCCTTCCTAAGGTAAATGTTCCATTTTATAAACTAGAGAAAAGCTCAGGTCTAAGATAGGGACTTCTCCCACATTCCTGCAATTTGTGAGTAATCATAAAGACATTAAGCCTGAATCTATACTGTAGGTTCAGCGAAGAATTTTAGAATATCTGTCTTGTCTTTAGATGTATTATCAACCCTATAATATGGATATTTAAGAGGTATGTGTAATTTTTCTTTTTTTTTTTTTGAGGAAGATTAGTTCTGAGCGAACGTCCACCACCAATCTTCCTCTTTTTGCTGAGGAAGATTGGCCCTGAGCTAATATCCATGCCCATCTTCCTCTATTTTATATGTGGAATGCCTGCTATAGCATGGCTCAATAAGCAGTGCCATAGGTCCACACCCAGGATCCGAATCAGCAAACCCTGGGCCACCAAAGTAGAATGCACGAACTTAACCACTGCGCCACTGAGCCAGCCCCTAATTTTCCATTTTTCATTAAAAAAAATTAGAAATAGCTGAGTTGTTACTGCTTCAGGTCAGAGAGGAGTCTTAAAATATAAATTTTCTCTGCTTGAACTGTTAATGTCTTTATACTTTGTTGCCCTCTAGAGAAAGTGCTAGTGTGTGGATAGCTAAAATGCATCTTCCATTTGTAGACCGTTTTTTGTTTTTCAGTTTTTTTTTTTGAGGAAGATTAGCCCTGAGCTAACATCTGCTGCCAATCCTCCTCTTTTTGCTGAGGAAGACTGGCCCTGAGCTAACATCCGTGCCCATCTTCCTCTACTTTATATGTGGGACGCCTACCACAGCATGGCGTGCTAAGCGGTGCCATGTCCTCACTTGGGATCCAAACTGGCGAATCCCGGGGTGCCAAAGCAGAACGTGCAAACTTAAACCACTGCGCCACTGGGCCGGCTCCCATTTGTAGACAGTTTTTAAGGCAGCAAGATATAGTTTCTTGGAAACTTCCAGTCAAACAAATGTGATCGGATTTCTTCTGCCTCATTTCAGAGCCCGTCAAGAGAACAATGCGAAAGATGTTGAGTTGTTTCTAAATCACTCTGTGGGTTAGAAGTTCATTTGTTTGCAAAGAACAGCAAATACAGAGCACATTTTTAAACTTAAATTTTTGTACTTATTTCCCAAATCAAGATGTGGTGAATTTTTCAATTTATATAACATTTTGCTTGAAGTAGGCAGGATATTGAACAAAATAATATGCAACTCACGATTATAAAGCAACTGGAAATCGCTATAGGAGGAGCGGGGAACACCTTAAAACTAAGCATATGGTGAACAAGTTAATTATATACTTCATATTGGCTCCTTTCCTCACCAAAAAATAAGGGCCAAGAGTTTATTTGTGGAAAATTCTGATACTTTTTTTTTAAAGCCGATGCTTTCTAATTTCCCAAAAGTATGGTTAAAAAAACATGAGGTGATCTTGAAATAGCTATTACCATTAACTAAAATACTAGTATTCCCCTTTCCCCATTCAAGGCTCAGATGACATTTCCTAAGAAATCATTTCCCAAAATATTTCTCTGGAGCTGTGATCCCTTATTATTCTTTTCAAGTTAACGTGCAGCCATTCCAAGGTGATGAATCCCACCCGTCAGCCCTGGAATAGTGTTTCTGACGGCACATGGAGCTTTTCCACACCTGTCTCACTAGCCTGTCTCAACTTCATTCCTTGCAAGACTTCGTGAGCAACCAATATCACAGATCATAGCAGCAGTGTAACTGCACCGCTGGGAGATCTGGGCCCTTCATTCACTGTTCAAAGTGACAAAGGCAAGCTGGACATGGTTGTTGACTGTGTTTTTCCCTCCTTACATAGTTGGAAATTTTGAGAAAGAAAACAATTGAACACTCAAGCTCTCTTAGTTCTACCATAAATCTAGGGCTTCAGTTTTGAGCAAAATGAAAAGTAGATGGTCGCACCAACTTTACTGCCCTGGGATGTCAGGAGAGCCCTGCCTGATAAATGTGTCACCCTTGAGCCTGAGTGTGGGGCATGGGTGGCAGGCGTCCCCACTGTGAGGCGTGCAGATGGTGCCACAGACACTTCCCACTGCACATTCAGTCTCTCTCACTATGAGCCCCTCAAAATGTTTCTGTACCTCGGAGGGTGACTACTTCTTTTAAACTCAAATGGTCTAAAGATTCTATGTACTATTGATGGACAAAAGTAAGATTATCTGGGATGTGTTCTTGTAAAGGAGATGAAATGGTGTTTTCCTCTTTTGTACAACCAGTGGGGTAAGCACTTTGTATAAAGTACACATAATAAATTTTGGTCTTGGTCTTCTAGGGAATTAGGAGTAAAATATGAATTTTCTCCATTATGTGTACACTGCCTCTCATCCACCTGGATCGCTTGTCACTCCTAGCAAGAGCCAATTTTTAACTGTAGCCATTTTGCCTTCTTCGGTGCCTGTTTTCTGGTTTCTAGAGTAGAGAAGAGATATTTAGTTAAAGAAAGAGAAATCCTCATCTATCTCCCCTTTTGGCTTCTGAATGAGTATCTATCTTCCTAGTGAGTGAGTATCTATCTTCTTGGTGACTATCTCCTCCTCCTCCCCCTCTCCCCCCCCCCCCCCCCCCTCCCTCTGCCCCCTCCTCCTTTCCCCTCCTTCCTCCTCCTCTCCCCCTCCTCCCTCCTCCTCTCCCCCTCCTCGTCCTCCCCCTCTCTCCCTCCCCCTCTCCCCCTCCCCCCTCCCCTCTCCCCCTTTCTCCTCCTTCTCCTTTCTCTTTCCTCTCCCTCTTCTCTTGAGCTAGAATTATATGTTCAGTGGTCAGAAAAGAGTTGACCGTTATGGCAGAGGGTCCACTGTGAGCAAGTCCTTGTTACTGCCCCACAAAATACCAATTGCCCCCAACCTACTGAGGTGATATTCTGACATTCTTCTATTCATTATTAGAAATGCCTTTTCCCATAGAAACAATGTTGTAAATGGTGATGAAGTGCTCAGCCCAACTGCCAAAGCCAATTTGCTCCAGAATATGATTGAGTTATACCACTAGTCATACTGGCCTGAGCTCTGAGTCCTTGGAGCTGGGGCCAAGTGGTACAGGGCAAGGCGGGGCAGTGGGTCTGAACAATCTGCCTTATGTGTCACATCACCTCCCTCTAGGCACCCTCTCTTCAGCTTCCCAGAACCTTCATGAGACCCAGAATGGCAGTCGTTAACAGGCTGCAAGCTCCAAAATTCCTTGACTCTCCTCTCCCATCAAGATCCCCTTTCCCGAGTGCACCGAGATAAGCACTTAACGTTAATAGTGTTTGAAGTTGAGTGAGTGGCGGAGGGGGCCGGCTAAGGAAGGAGCACATAGATGGATGTACTTCAGTGGAAATGTTCTAGCCCTTGGGTGACAATTTCAGATATTCATTATATTACTATACATTATAACTTAGATATGTCACATATATACTCTTAAATGGCTCAAATATTATGTTAGAGCAAATTTAATAAAAAAAAAAAAAACCAAAATGTAGAGACAAGTGAATGTGGCCAGAACCAAACTGTCATATTTCATGGGAAAGGCAGGCATGCGAACACACAGATCTGAAAAGCCAATGTCGCCTACTGTTTTGAACAAGAAAATCGCCTTTTAGTATCAAACAATTTTGTGGACCATCCCATATAATAATAGTTCTTTTAGTTCCATTGAGAAAATATCCTTTGCAACAAAGGTAAGTGCTATGGATCATAACATATATGTATGTTTAAAAAACAGTAAATGTGTAGATGAGACATAATTTGATTCTGTGTGTGGGCATTAGAAGTGTTTAAAAATAAGATAAGAAAGTAAGTTAAGAAAATAGACATTTGGGAGAAAATGTATTCTGAAGGGAGCCTGGATAGTAACCCATCTGAGTCAGCTCTCAGAGGCAGTTCCTCTATATCTGATTTTCTAGATCATCTTCTCTTTCTTTGTTTCAAAACTAGGGTGCCCTTGTTTTTAGAAGACAAAATAAAACACAGTCTCCGTATGGCTGCTGTAGTTGAAATCCCTTTGGGAGCTGCTACAATGGAGTTTTCTGGTTTGTTTTTATTGTTAATACTGTTGTGAGGGCAGGACATAATAAGTCACGTATTTCTAAATGAGCACAGCCTGTTCACATGTATAGGTCCTGCTCTGAGTTGACCTGAGCTAATCCTGAAAACCGTATTTAAAACTAGTAGAAAAAATCCAAAGAGAGGGTCAATCTTCACCTTAGTACTCCATTCTCATTCAATTTAAGAATTAGCCCATCAATGTCTAAAAATTGGTTATCTTTTCAGACTGTATAATGCCCATTTTTACCCATTATGGAAATGCCACAAACTGAGGGAGGAGCAGTTTATATGACCTCAACAATCAATCCTAGGATTTCTGGTCCCATGAGGTTTCTCTAGATAATCTCTCTTTGATTGTATCTAATGACTTTTTTTTTTGAAATGTGTATTTGCTTTAATGTTCTATAGTATATATTGACTTTAAAAAGAATATGTAGCACTAAAAGCTTTTCTCCAAGCTTTATTAGGGTTTTACATCTGTTTTTAAAATGAGTTAAAAAAATTAGAGACTTAATTGTATTCTATTCTGTTTTGGTTCTTAAGTTTAACTTGTCATTTTCTCTTTTAAGCCAAAATGCTACACCAACCTTATGGGATTCCTTAGAAGAACCTGATATTCGAGATACTAGTGAGTTTGAGTATTTATTCTCCAAAGACACAACTCAGCAGAAGAAAAAACCTCTGTCAGAGACCTATGAGAAAAAAAACAAGGTCAAAAAGGTATCTAGTGACTATAGTAATCATAACCATATATGTATATTTTGTCGTATATGGAGATTTGTTATGTGCTACTGGTTTGCTTTCCCTCTGTTTTCAAAAAAATGTTTTGGAAGGTTCTGTGTCTTAGATGACAAAAACAAGCCAATAATTTGAGAAATCTGTACTTGATGTTTTGGTCACATAATCTGAATTTTCAAACTAGTCTCTTAATTTGGACTTTTTCAGACATTAATTCTATTGAAAAAAATAAAATTTGTCAATTCATGAAAGTAGTCTGTAGGCTATATGGAAAATATGTCTTACTCATTCACTTATTTATAAATTCATTCATTTAACAAATATTTATTGGCAGTTTATTTGTGCTAGGTTTTGTTTTAGGCCCACGCTGTCCAGTGTGATAACTATTAGTCACATGTAGCTATTTAAATTTAAGTAATAAAATTAGATAAAATTAAAAATTCAGTCCTGCAGTGGTACTAGCTACTTTTCAGTTTTGTTCCTGTGGCTGGTAGCTACCATATAGCACAGATATAAAACATTTTCGTCATTACAGAAAGTTCTATTGGATAGGACTGTCTGAGCATCTAGGATATGTTAGTGAAAAACACCAAAGATCTTTGCCCTGTGGAGCTTATATTTGCAATCAACATTAAAAACAAAAAATTAAGGGGCCAGCTCAATGGCGCAGCGGTTAAGTTCGCACATTTTGCTTTGGTGACTTCGGGTTCGCCAGTTTGGATCCTGGGTGTGGACCTCTGCACCACTTAGCAAGCCATGCCGTAGAAGGCATCCCACATATAAAAAACATTGGAGGAAGATAGGCACAGATGTTAGCTCAGGGCCAGTCTTCCTCAGCAAAAAGAGGAGGATTGGTGGCAGATGTTAGCTCAGGACTAATCTTCCTCAAAAAAAAGTAATAGTAAAATAAACCCCCAAAAAACAAAAAGTTAAATCATATGGTAGAACAAGGTAAGGAGGATCAACTTCAGCAGAGTAGTAATGGGGCTACAGTTTTAAATGGAGTCTGGAAGATAGTCCTCGTTGAGAAGGTGACTTCTGAGCAGACTTGAGGACTTGAAGTCTGAGACCACCAGCCATCTGTCAGAGAACAAGTTCAAGATTCTCCATCAGGCGGATGGGAAGCTGAATCACAGCTGTGCCACGCACTAGCTGTGTGACCTAAAGCAAAGTTCTGCCGCCTGTGGCTGGGTCCCCTCACCATAACGTGAGATGACGTCTGCTGGTGGTGGTGGTCTAGGTGATTATTAAATGAGGTAATAGATGTATCATGCTCCATGTAGTGCCTGGCACACAGTCAGCCCTCCAGAAAGGGTAGCTGCTCTTGTTTGGCTGCTGCTGCCGCTGCTGCTATTTCTCTGCACGAGTGTTTTGCTAATAGCATAGATGGTGTGGAGGAAGAATATAGGACTTGGTTCTGCTATTGATTTGTATGTGAACTTGGGCTAGTTGTCTTCCTTCTCTAGGCCGTATTTTCCCATCTTTATAAAACAGGGTTAGCAATATCTGAGTCTAGTTGACCCACCAGGATGTTGTGAAATTCACATGTAAGAGGGTTTGAGGAAGTGTTTTGAAAAGTGTATAATGAACGATATTGTCGTCAACTCGTCATTCTTAAATTATATAGCGGGATTCATCCACTGGTTCATATCTTAAGTAACGTTATGATTATGAAGTCAGCTGTGCCTTACAGGGAAAAAAGTGGCAAAAGTCTGAACACAGTTTTCTGCTAATCAAATCAGATTATCCCACTGACTTGAATTATGAATGAAAATTGTGATCAAAGTTTTTCACCTCTCAAGTTCATTGGAATTGTGTTTTCATGAGAAAAGTGTGATTCAATAATAATTAAATATCAGAGCAAATCTTTTAAGAGGACATATTGCGTGAGCAATTTGAATTTTTCTAATAAAACAGTTCCAGGCAAGAAGTCAATGGACATACTATAAAATATATTTCCATGAACTAGATTCATATGAGGTGGAAATAAGTGTGCCTTACAGGCTGGCTGGCTGTTTAAATGCCATCTACAGGAATGGAGGACTATATATTTCTATACAAAACATATACTATATATGTTTCTATACAAAAGGTGAGAGAAGGATCCCTATATTCCAAAGCTAGCCTCAATTTGCCTCTTTCAGGAAGCTTTCTCTGACTAACCAGGAACTCCACTGAATGTTTTCTTACGCAATATCACATTAAACCATTGTTCTCCATTTCTTCTCAGATTGCTATTACTCCTTTTGTTTCTCTCTCTGGACGCTTAACATGTTGTTTACTCATAAAACTAATTTCTGTTTTGGCGAGTGAGTATTTTTGAAACATCAAAGTATTTGTTTTTAAAACATCAAAGCATTTGGTCGTTTATTCTTATTTCTTATCTATAATTGTCTGTTCAACAAAGGATTTTCACTAAGGCAGTTAGCACTTGATGTGTTTATCTTGTTTTTCTGTCAGAGGGGAAAATACCCTTCATTTGAACTCTTTAATCTTTCTGAACAGTGGGGTCGCCATTACTTCCTGGAAACTGCATGTGTGTAGTCTTTGGTGTTTTCTGTAAGTGGAAGCAAGAATGTAGGTCTGCTGGGCTTGATGGTATGGAGGCTGCTTGGAGTTTTCAGCGAGCTTTGTGGCCTGCCTTAGAGCTGAGATTTTAAGTTTTAGGGGAAATAACGAGCTGAATCAATGTCAGAAAACTCCAAACCTGCCTCCTACCAGCCTTCCCTCTATGCCCCTGGCCAGATTTCCAACTTCAGGATGGATTCCTTGCTCTTTTCCGAGAATCGGATGTTTGTTTTCTTTTCTCTTAAAATGAAAACGATAGTGAATTTTAGAGATTGTGAGCAGCTGAGGAGTTTTAGCGTTGGAGACCAACTCCATCAGCCTAACTACAGAGTGATTCCCATACAAGATGCCTAGGAGAACACTTGCCAAATAGTCTTTTTATAAGAACTGAAGAGGAGTATATGTTGGAGATTTTAAAATCCAGCATTCTGAATCTTGCCTGTAGGGGCTCAGCCAACACTGAAATATACTTGTGAACATCTCTTAGATGGAGCTGGTCTTCATCCCTCTGTGCCTTCTGTATTCCTAGTTCAGAAATAACTCAGAATGGTCAGGATTCTGCTGAACTCAGAGACAAGTTTCTAGTTTTATATTCTATAATAGCATTTGAAGTTCCCATCACTGGCACTAGTTTAAAGTGAGCAGAGACATATATTCTTAAACTGAGCACTGATCCCATTCTATAATATCATACAGACTAAGAATTAGAAGGAAATTAGAAGGAACCTTACCAATCATCTAAATCTGTACCCTCATTTGGCACATGACAAACTCAGATCTAGAAAGATGAAGTGACTTCTAGGGTTTGCACACTTTCAACTGGGAAGACGTTGATAATGACAAGCACTTGAGAGGATGTACGAGAGCCTCAGCATTGTGTCTTCAGTTTCCCCTTTATTTAAACGGTAATTTGCCACACAGGTGATGGTAACTTTTTTTCTTCTGGAAGTTTGGCCCTGAGCTAATATCTGTTGCCAATCTTACTTTTTTTTTTTCCTCCCCAAAGCCCCAGTACATAGTTGTGTGTCCTAGTTGTGGGTCATTCTAGTTCCTCTATGAGGGATGCCACCACAGCATGGCGTGATGAGTAGTGCATAGGTCCGCACCCAGGATCCAAACTGGCGAACCCCAGGCCACCAAAGCAGAGTGCACAAACTTAACAACTCTACCACAGGGCCAGCCCCCTTTTTTTTTTTTTTTTGATGTTGGTAACTTTTATTTGGATGATTGATTTGACGTTTATAGATGAGAGTAGCCATTGTTAAAATCATCAACAAAATACAACTACACTTGTGCAAATTCAAAATATTTCCTACAATGTGAAATTATCCAAAATTCGCTCAGTCTTCCAATAGGAAGTCAAATCTTGAATAAAAAAATTCTTTACATAGAACTCCAACAACAAAATATGTAGATTTGGAGCTATTTTCCTTGGACTCTATCAGTCATTTTAAATATTATCTATAATAAATACTAACGATGACCAACTTGTATTGTGTACTCAGGCATGTGCCATCCTCATTTGTGACACCAGACTACTCTGCCACTGCAAATGTAGCAATCAGCAAATTGAGAGCCAGAGCTCATAACATCAGCTCTTGTTGATACCACCAACACAGTAATGTCTCCTATTTATTTTTTCTTTTTTTTGCTCTCTGATAACCTTCAGAGCAAATCATTTAACTTTCCTACACTGATTCCTTCCTTATAAAATGGGGAATAACAACTCTTTACAGCATTGTTACAAGGACAAAATGAAATCACGATTATGAAAGTACTTTAGTACATGGTTCTAGAAAATACTTAATCTCTTAGTTTGTGAACTAATGTGAAAGCTTTGTGAAGAAATTGTTAAGTATCATTGATTTCCACAAAGTGGTTGGGGGTCTTAAAACGTTAGTATGTCCATTCTTGAAACTATTTGCAAATAGAAATCTCTAGACCATTCCTGTTTTTTTTAGTACTTATAGAAGAATTCCAGGACTTCCTTTAATGACACATGCAGACATCTAGTAGTTCATCTTACACTGGTTTATATAATCTGTTTGTGCTGTAAAATAAGAGTTTCCACTGTCAATATGCCCGTATTTACGCTGTCTCTAAGTTACATTTGTTCCTGGGAAAGGTAGGTCAGCACCTTGACGAAGAGCCAGAAACCTGCTTTCATTGTCTGAGATTCTTTCTCCTGGTGCCTGTCAAGTAGCTACTCTGATAAACTTTCCAATTGCTTTCTAAACTTGCCCAACAACTTTCAGAAAACCAGCATGACCTGCCAATATTCTTCTTCTCTTGACATGCCACAATCTCACTTTGAATTATAAATAATCTCTGTGCTTGTTCCCTCCTCTGTAAGATATAGGAAATCATTCCTCTCCCTCGGCCTTTTTCATAGATATTTGTTAAGAATTAATGAG